CGTTTACTGGCAAAAGAACTATTGATAATCATACAAATAAACTTAAATAACAACTAACAAGAAATTAAAATCAAAAATTTAAAAAAAGATTAAGGTTGATAGAGCTTGTTGCGACACCTGCATTTCCAGGAGAGAAGATAGTAGTAGCTGTCATGATCTTCTTCTTGTCTATGGGGTGACGAATCTTCTTGATAATTCTTATTATTAAATATAAGATGGGGTGGAATTACTAAAATAGCCTCGCATGGCCTGCAGTTCATGCATTTATTCACACATCCAGGTGGCCTTGATCCCAATATCATCTTCCTCAGCTCTTCATCACTTCTTGAATATTCCTCAATCCCACCTGCACCCACTATATATATACATATACATGCAAAATATTAATAATTAAATTAAAAAAAAAAAAGGGATGCTGGGGTTAATTGTTGAGTTAATAATTACCTGATTTAGTGAGAGAAAGAAAGAGGAGAGATGAGAGAGATAGAGTGAGAAGAAATAGGTGATGGTGATGATATCTGTAGTTTCTTGATAATACAGACATGATCAAGATTAGTTAGTGTAAGGAAACAAAAAAAGAATGGTGGATGTAATATTGTAATGAAGATATTTGTGTGGAAGGATGGATAGGGTGTGTATGGGGGGAGAGAGTGAGATTATTTTTTTGTATTTGAAGACAAGAGTTTGGTTTGCTGTATTCATGAGAAGGGACAACACAGTTTACACTGTTCTTTTTTTTCCTCTTTTTTTTTGGGTAAAAAAAAAATCATCAATTAAATGAAATGTCACACAGAAAACAATGTAGGGTTTTTTCTCATTTTGGGAAATTGTTGTATTTGATATGAATGTGGATGGGGGTGGATCATCGAGTGTACTATTTCAGATTACAGTTGAATCTCGATAAATTAATAATTTTGTTTAAATAATAATTTTTCTCGGTCCTGACTCATAGTAAATGTATTAAATTATTAGTTCGATAATTATAATATTTCACTAAATAATAATTAATAGATGTTTGCTAGTTGAACTACTGTATTAATTTACATACGCTTAATTGTATTAACTCAAGTTTTAGATTATGTCATTTAATTCGAAGTTGGAGTGTGACAGATGATTTGAAATAAAAAGAGTAGTTAATCTAAAATCAATGTTTTAAGAGTTACACAACTGCAGTCAACAAAATGGACAAGAATTATTTGACTTTTTTGAGGGGGTCTTTTGGACCAAGGTCATTATTTCAAGGGCTCCCTCTGCAATTAAAAGGGCTTTGAAAATCAGCAAAACTTTCTTGGAAATGCTGACTCAGGTTAGAATATACACACAAATTCTTCCCTATAAATGTTTGTATATTCACACAGTAAAAAATACTGTGTAGTATAAAAAAAAAAACCCTGAAAAAACAAAATTTTCAAATGAATAAAATAAAAAACCCTAATAGGAAAATATAGTTTCACCAAACTGACCAAACAGTTATATATGCCTTACTGTTCATATTATATATCAATAAATAGTCAACCTTTTTTAGAAATTTGTGTTTATTTAGATATAAAAAAAAATAGAAAAAAAGAGAGAAGGCCCCCAGCCCAGAAGGGCATTTCTGGCAATGCGTACAAAAATTCAGAAATTAAACAGTAAATTAAAGCAAAAGTTTCACCCACTTCACCACTGGGAAAAATGAATATTCAGTAATTAGCAAGGTCGTAAAAGGCGGTAATCGGGTCCGAGTCGGTCAGGCACCGACTCACGATTAATCGGTGCGGCGGTGATTAATCGGTGATAAATCGGAAATAAATCGGTTTTTTAAATTTAATATAATATATTTCTAAATATTATTTATAAATACTCCAAACATATATAAAAAGATATTTAAACATAGTTATATCTCCATCATGAATATATCTTAATAACATAATAAAAGTTTAATAATTATAAGATCATAATACATAAATATCCTTATAAAATATAAATAAAAAAGCAAAATTTTTGAATTAACATTTATTTAGTTCTTTAACAATAATAATTAACATAAACAAAATAAGACATAAAACCATATTTTCTTTTAATAAAATCCAACTTTTATTATGAATTCTAAAAAAAAAAAAAAAAAAAGCCGATTTTTAACCGATTTTTGACCGATTTTTGCCACGGAGTTTGACCCGCCATAAAGGTTTGACCGCCTCAGACCGCCTAAAACCGCCTCACAGGCAAAAAACCGATTTTTCAAACCTTTACACTAAAATCGTAAAGGTTTTGGACCGCCTCGGCCGATTTTTAGAACACTGGTAATTAGAGATATGTTAGAATCCAATGGAAATTTCACTGTTGTTGAGTGAGTCAGTAATTAAAATCGTGTAAGGATCTTCTAATATAAAGTGCGCCTTTAGTTTACACAAATCTTTTAGCCATTTAGATGATGAACTATTAGTAGAGCCAAAATCTTTGAACACCAATGAGGGAGAATTCATCGAACACTAACACTAACTTCGAAAGGCACATATATACAGAAAAAATTCGAATTGAAAATTTCGAATGTGCCAAAGGGTAAAAAAGGGCAGAGATATTACGTTATTCTTACATCTTAAACACATGTTTTAAGGTTACTCACGGTCAATCTTGCGTTAATGCCACCCGCCTTATGCAATGTCCTCAATCGTACATTCCTTCTTGTTCCCAAATATCAACAAGGAAATCTACCATTTCCTGTCGATTTTTCCGTGCAAATAGTTGGAAAATTGGTTGGAAGAAACCGATAATTGCAGATATTAAAAAGGAAAAAAAAATACGAAGAAAAATGGAATTAAGAAGCATACCTCAAGCCGAATAGGTCTAGGGAACGGCTTTTTGCTCTTAAGCAAACTATCGTTGGTTATATTCCAACAGCAGAGCATAAACTTTTTGGCAAGGCAAAGACGCAAAGATCTAAAATTAAAAAATAAAATAAAATGAAACCATGAATAACGAAGCATTTTTTACTTGTTTTTTTTTCAAATGAAGTAAAGAGCAAACCGATGTGTAATATCGAAACAAATCAAGAAGTTTTTTTGTTCATACAATAGTTGCAACAAGAATTGTCACTAGTAAAAGTCAACGACTTTATTGCTCATGAACATCAAGATTTTTAAGGTGGTGTTTGTAAAAGCTTTTATTATATAAGCAAAAGTTAGTGACTGCGAGTTAAGTTAAGAATAAGTGATTATTTCTAAAAAGTTGGGGGTGTTTGCAAACACGTACTATCAAAAATCAAATTTAATTAGTAACTATTAGAGAAGTTATAGAGTTAGTAAATAAACTAACTTTTAGCATATTTTCGTGAAATAACTAAAATTAGTGACATACGTGCTTTTTTCAGCTAGTGACATATGTGTCTTTAAATTGGAGAAGCAGCTCCAATGGTGAGCTTCTCGGATTATGACTTAAAGCATCTTATTTTAAGAGAACCAAAAGTACAAATCGTATTTCAAACACTCAAAATCATAGTGTATACTTACAAGATTTTTGCCGAAAAAATAAAATAATTATCTTACCTACATTTGGGCACATACAACTGCTGAACCCGACTCACGGCTTTTTTATTCCCTACCCATTTCTGCCTGCCCTGGTTCCAGAGAAGAAGACCTAACAGCCAAACCCTCTTCAAATCAGATCCCACTTATCATAATATAAAATATATATTTTTACAAATTATATTATATATATATTAACTCACCATTGTTTACAAATTCGGTTGGTTTGATTAAATCGCCAGCACCATGGGCGCCATTCGTCTGATTCGGTGTATTTTTTTTCGAGAAGATGCTGCTATACGATTGTACTTCCTTATAGCCCATCTCACAATTGCTGAGCATACGGAATATTCTCAGATATGGTAAGCTTTTTCGGAGCTGACAAAGAAGGGGGTATTCGCCCCTTCAACAACTCGTTCAACGAGGCGTCAATTTGAGCTTAGTAGCACACCCAAGAAAAACACTGCTCTGTTCCAATTAACAGTATATAGTCAAACTACATGATAGAAGCAATCATATCCGTTCGTTGATGTCGACAAAAACCGACATTTTGATAGCATGTATTAGACGTTGAGATTATTTTCTAATTTCCAAATTTGTCCATGCGTAATAATAAATGTTACCAAAATAGAGGGATATATTTGTCATTTCATTTGTAATCGAAGAAGCAGAATGGACATCAAGAATGGACATCAGCATGGCTTCAAATTCATTAAATAAAATAACTAGATGCAGAATTCGTGCGACAACAATTTATCGGAAGTACTTGAAAAACTTAACTATAAAAGACAAGTAGATATCGAATTAAAACGACAAATCAAACTCCGAATACCAACTCCGATAAATCAACATATCCAACTTCCGAATCAGCACTCAATCGAATACAATTCTCTCAAGAAAATGCATTTTTTTTCTTCCTAGAGCACATAAACTTAAACACAACAAACGCATAAACACCTATATAAGAATAATCAATCTCAAATATAAGAAACAAAAATGGTATCAGCAAATAAAAAAATCTTACTTTTCCAAACAAAAACACAAATAAAAAAGCTGATAGAAATCCAATTCCAAAGCCGAATTAAATGGAATACCAGAACATTATAAAAAAAAATATTAGGGTATGTTGGTAATCAGAAATGCATACCCCATACGAGCAATGGCATGAAAAATCCAAGCAGCAACCGATCCGAACCGTAAAAGGGCACCCACCATAAACATCGATTGAATTAGGTTTTCCTTTTCACAAATCTCTGAAAAGTGAAAATCAATACGCAATTTTCATATTATTAAATGTATTTTTTTTTTCTGCACAAATTCATGATCATCGAATTTATTTACCTGAGAGAGAGAGAATAGATTATTCAATTCTCTCCCCTGTTTTGATTTTCCTTCCTCAAATCGATCGATTCACAGTGAAATGCCCTTCGGGTGTGATTGCTTAGGGTTCTTCTTCTCTGGAAAATTGGGTACCTAAACTGCAATAAAATATCCACAGATAATAAATAATGACTATTTATTTAATCAATAAATAAATAATTAATAATTAATTAATTAATTAAAAATGATTAATCCTTTTTTTCTTCCCCATTCAATTAGCTGAAAGGCCTGACACCCGTGTGATTGGAGATGGCCTCTTCCACTCTTTTTTGGGCCAAAAATGTGATTTTTTTAAATTAATTAAAGAAAAAATAGTAAATTATGGAGGTGTTACATAAAATAAAATAAAAAACAAAATTAGACATTTCATATTTAATATGAGAATTTAATACAAGGTTTAATCAAATATTTTAACGACTAAATAACTAATTAGTCAGTGGAATATTATTTTAATCTATCTTAGCACAATGTAATTCGATTTAGGTAAACAAACGAGACCTTAGTACATAGTTCGATTTAAGACAATAATAGAACAAATTAAATCCATGCACATATCAATGGGTTGCAACTTGCAACGATTCAATTACACTGTTCAAGTTTATTTAAATTTAAATATAATAAATTTACTTAATTATTTAATAAATTACATTTAATTAATTAATTTTTTTCTACCATCCCTAGATAGAATTTATTTTAAAAATATTTCTATTTAAGACGGATTCAAAATTCCACCACAATAAATCAAAAATATAATTCATAAAAGGAAATTCATAAACTTGCTGCTTCATAAAAAAGAAAAAAAAAAACATAAATTCAAGATTAATTTTTTTTTCTCTTTACAATTTTTTTGCAGTTAAAAATATTAAAAAAAAAATTAAAAAAGAAAAAAAGAAATTCAATAGGAGTAAGCAATCCTCTGCACACGACCCTTGAGAATCCCACTGTACAGAACCGCACGATTGGCGGGCATCACTTTCTGTAGCCCAATAATTTGATTCCCACAGCAACTCTTTTGAATTCCATCAGATTCTCTGTGTTTCCTTCTGTACAGTTCCCCATTCCCTCTCGTTTCTCTTACATCATCTGCAAATCTAACTCTCTTACTCTTATTCTTCTTCCCTTTCTTGCTACCACCTGATAAAAATAAAAAATAAATAAAATAAAATAAAATCAAGGGCATGCATTAATTAATATTCAATACAATTCAAGAAATCATAAAAAATAAAAATAAAAAAATGTGATTGATGATTACCTGAAGATAAACAAGATTTGAGGTTATGATCGGAATGGGAATCGTGATTCCGGAGAAGAAGGGAGGTGGAATGGAGATACCTTTCCCGGCAAAGATCGAACAGGATTATCGTGCCGGCGGAAACCGCCATAGCTGTGGCCAACACCACACCTTGACAAGTCAACATAGAAGACATACGAAAAACCAGTTACACTGAGGGCAAACGAAATTTATTATATGAACAAGAGTTTTTTTTTTTTTTATACTATATATATAATATTATTAAATAGAATTATTTAATATATAATATTAGGCTGTTGGTTTTATTCATACAGATGTACTTATTTGAATGGAACAATTATATATATAATTAATTGAATTTTGCTTTAGTGGTGATGAGCCACACGTCACCTGGAAATCAGAGGAAGGTCAAATATTTAACACCAATAATTTCTATTTTAGTCCTTTTAATTATTATTATTATTCTATGAATGAAAGTTGAATAATTTTATTTTATTTATTTGTCTGATTGAGGTTTTGTTAGAAAATATGTGATTGTTTGGTTTTGCTATACTACTGAATTAAACGAGCTCAAAATAACGATCGATCTCAAATCAAGTATTTGATATCTTGCGGTCCAAGGGGAGGCACTGGCTAAGCTTAGACCACTTTTCTATGCAAAAAAGGAGGTTTGGTCCGACATTGTGGTAGAAGGTGATTGCTTCCAAGTAATCATAACTCTTCGCAATGGCAATCGTGAACTTTGGAGGCATCATTGAGGAATGTCGGCATCTAACTTTATTTGTTCGTTTAATTTCTTTCAAGATTATTAAATATTCGGGCAATAGTTAGCTCATGAGTTAGCCGTTTTTTTGCTTTTAGCATGTAATAATCTGATGGAAGGTGTTAACTTCCCCTTGAATCTGGCTCATATTGCCTAATAATAATTTTTTTCTCCCAAAAGAAAAAAAAAATGAAATCAGGAAAAAGTGTGACAATCATGGATTTCATGTGTGATTTTTGAGCTTCTTTGAGTGTGTGTGTGTGTGTGTGTGAGAGAGAGAGAGAATCTTGATTTGTTTGGAAAGTTGAGATGAGATTTGTAGAAGTCATTTTCAAATTATTTTTGTGGAGAGAATCATATTTGATTGTAGTCCCTCAAATAACAAGTGTCGATTAATTGAGGAGTTTTTTTTTTTTTTTTTTGGGTCAAAAGAAATTGAAGAGTAGTGCACTTGTATACGCCATTGAAGGTTGGCATCTTCCACAAGTTAAATGAATTATTGCTACTTAGTTGACCACATCCAATTTTGAGGAAGAATTAATTCATCTTATTCAATATTAAAATGATTTTCTCCTATTTTAAGAAACTTGTGCCATGTTTTCAGCTTTGCGCACGTATTATGAATTTTAATAAATATTTCTTGATTTAAAAGAAAAATACATTAAAAAATTAAAATAACCTTGATCGTTATTGAATAAATATAAGTAAAACATGGTATGAAATTTTAAAGTGATTATTAATATAAAACAAAAATATTTCTGTAAAGTGACACTAACTATTGGACGACGAGAGTTTATTGTAAAGTACTTTCTGTATTTATACATAATCACACATATAAAATAGATTGATGTGAATATAATATAAATAGATACATACAAACAAATGTGATAGGATTAGACTATTGAGTATGACCATATAAATTCAACAATCAAACTATTTGAATCTATTGATGCACATCCATATTACATTGGTCCATGGAAACAAGTGTATGCATGGACCATTAGAATCCAATGTGAAACAAACAAACAAACAAACCATTATCTATGATCTCTTTCCTCATTTCACATTGCCACACATCACACATAAAGACACTCGACTATGATTTCAACAAAACGACAAACGACGGCCCCACCAGCATATGCTGGTTTATTTGGTCGAGCTCGTCACACATAGTTAGTTTAACGTTGTTTACACCTCTCGTGCAATCTAATCAATAAAATATGATCTAGTCAATGAAATAAAATCTTATCAATAAGAACAATTTACAAAATAAAAATTAAAGTACATTTCAATAAGCAAACATAGTCATGTAAGAACAAATACAAAGCCAAACAGGCACAATTAAAGTCAGTTACAAAAAATAACGAAGTTCTTATTCGATGCGATGCAAATAAAAAAAAACGAGCTTCTTGATTTCAACTTTCAAGTGGTCAAAATAGGTGGGAGATAATCCGACTTGGCACCAAGAACACGCGCCTTAGTGTCAGGGAAAAACTCCATACCGGGCAATTCAGTAATTACACCCTCGCTCGAAAGGGCGACGGGGTAACGGAGAAGGTGACCTGGCAGGTCCCGTTCCAGTTCGTCGCTTGCATAGAGGTCCCAGTACTTGTCGGCAATACCGTTCACCTTGCTCACGCACTCCTCACTCTCAGGGTGTAGGAAAGTGTCATCGAGCATACCGAGGTGTTCGTACCATAAGGCCATTCTGAAACCGTGGACCTGGCCCATGGCGGGCTCGTGTGTGGCTAAGTGGTGCGGCTGATAAGCCCCCATCGCTATCTCCGAATCTCTAGCACCGTCCAGCGATCTTTGGTTTATATTCGCCGATCCGACTATTATGTATTCGTCATCAACTGCAATTCCCAAAAAATAAAAGAGTTTTAAAAAATTTATACTTTTAGAGCTTTTATCATTCATCGTAACAGTTTATTTTATTTAGTACTCCCGTGTTCAGTCTAATTGCTAAAAAACTCCCCGTGGAATACGTATTAACAAAGACACCATATAATGTATTTTTCTTACCACAAAACCCCTAAATGGTGTGTTTTTACTAGGGTGTAGTTTGCAAAAGAAAATTGCATTACATGGTTTTTTTGTTAATATTTAAAACACGGGCAGTTTTTAACAATTAGACTAAACACAGAGGTGTTGTATGCAATAACCTTTAGTTAAAGCCAAAAAAAAAAGTAGGGGGCTGTGTGCTATAAAAAAAGTGCGTTACAGGGTCTTTTTTTATTTATAACACTGTTTTTTAGCAGCTCAACTAAAGACATGGGTGTCAAATGCAATAACATTTCATCAAACCTAAAAAAAAATTGGATTACAGATTTTTTTTTAAATATTTATAACACAGGGAGTTTTTAGCAATTAGACTAAAAGCAGGGGTGTTGCATGCAATAAAAATCTTTCATCAAAACCAACAAAGAATTAGGGGGCTGCGTCCTAAAAGAGATTGCATCATGCGGGTTTTTTCGCTAAGTTTTATAACACGAGGGGGTTTTCAGCAATTCAATATAAACACATACGTGGTACTAATTGCAATAAACCTTTGATCAAAGGGAAAAACTTTTTACCTATCATCATCTTGGCATGAACGTAGATCATAAACCTCCGAGCTGCTTGAGCCATCTGATAATCCGTATCGGGATCGGGCGTTTCTGAGGGCTCGTACTCCCCACTCTTCTTCACCTCCCTATTCCCTAGGCAAAAAAACGTCAAGTAGTTTCTTGGATCCTCTTCGATCCCCTTTGCATTAAGCGCCTCGATAATATCCTTATACATCATCTCCATAGTCCTCCTCTGCCAATCCAATATCGCCTGCACCGACGCACTCTCCGGAAAACCCTCCGGCCACATAGGGACCACTATATATACGGTAAACCTCTCCCCCGCCTCGATCTTGCTCACGATTTTCAACGAGAGCTCCTTTGGAATTAGGTGCAGCGCTCCGATATCCTCCACCTTGATATCGGTTGGGTCCCACCCAAAGCTACTTCCCAAGAAGTATTGATTCTCGATATAAATGAAGTTTTTCGCGCGTCGGATCGCGTGTATGTACGCGTCTTGTATGCTCCGGTCGATTATGTTGTCCTTGCCGCTGACGAGGCCCGCCTTAGTGGCCTCCTCGGGGGACTCCGGGAATCCGAAGGCAGCACCACCATCAATCGACCGGAATAACTGCACATTCCAAGTTTCTTGATCGTCGGGGTACGTGACAGGGGAGGGAGGAATAATGACGTCATCGAGCTCGCGTAGGCTAATCAGCAAATCCTTGCCGCCTTGCTTCCTCCACCTCTGCTCGAAGTTGAATAAAACATCCCACGCTATTTGACCCTCCAGACGAGAGTGGATATCATGCCATGGCTCGCGAGGCCCGCCTTTCGTTATTGCGGCCCCAGCGTAGTTGGCCTGGTGGAAATCGTCGTGGTGGGCGGTGTCTAGGGTTCGGAAGAGAGAGTGGAACGGGGAATCGTACCGCCCATCGCAGAGGTCAAGGCCGCCGACGAAGCTCACAATCCTCCGCTTCTCGGGTCCACCTTCGACCGGCAAATCGGAATCCACAACCACGATCTTTTGGTGGTGGGTGAACATGGTGGAGATTTGCAAGTCCTGAACGAAACTCCCACCATCGTCCGGGTTTCTAGGGCACAAAATGCAATTCACATCCGTGCCGTTGAAGTAGTTTTCAGTCTCCTCGTCGTGCGTGGCCATCAAACCGTCTTTTTTCAGCAAGTCAACCGAGGTCCGGTCATCCCAAACGAGCATGAGCACTCGAACGCCCTCGCTCGCTTTCTTCTTCAAAAGCTCGCCCAATGTGATGTCGCCACCTGGCTTCTCTCTCCTTGAGTCACGTATCAACGTCACCTCGGTGTAAACCGACCACCCCGTGATGTAGATGAAATGCTTCGCGTTGGTTATCGCGTCGAAGATATCCTCCCAGCATCTGTGCGGCTCGTAATACTTCCCGCCTGAAAGGGGTATTTTCGGAATGAAATTGTCGGGCACGTGCGCGTCTTGGTATAGAGAGACGCGGCACCCCGTTCTTTGAGAGAAGAAGGTGTACGGTACGCCGGGATACTTTGCAGATTTGATACCGCGGGCCCAGTTTCTATCTCTTGTGACATCGAAAAACTGCAATTTCACGTGGATTTTGGATCCTTCACTAACGGGATTCATGTCCGTGTCGAGTATTTCGACCCACTTGTCGACTTCTTCGCCTTCTAGAAGCTCCTCCACCGGTACATACGCCCGGCCGATTAGGGTTGCTCCGATAGGGTTGTCGTCTTTGACGGTGAATATCACGTTGGACGCCATGTGGGCGCAGTAGATGTGGAAAGACTCATACCATCTCGGGTTATTTGGTTCCTTTTCGATTATTCTTGTTCGCCCGACTCTTGCCTTTTCCAGGTCGATGCTTGCGTAGATCTTGGCGGTGCCTTTGCCGAAACCAACTGTTTCTTCAATGTTCTCCATCAGCTGTACAAGATTACGATACTTTAATCAACGAGAATACATACGTGAAAACTATTTTAAATTGCAAAAACAAATGAATAGAAGCCTATATTCAGAAACGGAGAGTGTCTTGATGTATCAATCACGACTCGTAACACAGACGAATCAAATTCAGAAACGAAGGTGTGCTCAAGATGCATCATAAACACTTAGATGTAGTAAAAAAACTGCAAGAATTTTGATTATTTAACAATTAAAAATGAAATTTCAATCGGAAATCAAATTAAAAAAAGAAAAAATGGAAGATATCAGAATCGACGATCTTCCGACAGCATAACGATGCATCACACAACTCAAACCTTGCTCAAAGTAAGCATTTGAGATCAAACCAAATAAATCATGTCAACAAGATATTTTATAAATATTTTAACCAACAGAATTTAAAAAAAAAAAAAAGTAAATTAATTCAATCCATCCACAATCTCTACCCAAAACACAGTAATTCAAGTCAAACATCTTTGACAGGACAAGTATAAACATAGTCGATCATCAACCAAAAAAATTAAATTAAAATTAAACAATCTAAACAAATATCGAGATCAAAATCTGTACCTTGCCGAAGAAATTCCCACCCTTTCCGGCGTGGAGCGTATCCACTTCGTAGATCGTGGCATGGAGTGTTCCATGGAGCAAGATCTGCGCCATTTTCGCTTTTCACCTATGATTTGATGAAAATTTCAGAAAAAAAAAACCCAAAATCGCATTACAAAATTCCACACTACAGTATATACTATATACCCACCACTAATCAAACAAAGTAAAAAGGAGTACACTACAGTCTATACAGTTCAAATAATTATGAGAAATTTTCGGATCAAAAAAATAGATTAATTTCAACTCAAAAATGAAGAGATCCGACGAATTTACATAGTGTGGAAAATTCTTACGAGGGTTTCTGCGAAGAATCAGAGTAGAATGTAATCCGATCTTGTCAGTGTGCGAAGAAGGGAAAAAATCGAAGGTGAGAGAGAGAAAGTAGAGCGAGAAAGTAGATCCTTTATACAGAGGATGGCCTCCATACGCGGTAATCTGATTAACAAGGAAAAAGACACTCTTTTACTTTTTAATATTTTATTTAGGTCCAGATCTTTATGCTATTTGCATATTTAATGCGGTATTATTTTTTTCTTGAATTTTACATCCATTTTTTTTTCCGTAGGATTGAGATTGATGAAAATTGAAAACTAGAGAAAGTTGACAAAGTCAACATTGAATCAAAACTACTTGTTCGTTATAAGTTTGTTCGATCTCGATTTGTCGACATAATGAACAAAGTTTTCGTTCGATAACGCTATATTAGGACCTTGAGTTTTATTTGTGGCCGGCTTCCATTGAAATTCGTTTGAGTTAGACTGAATTGTTTATCAGATCAAAAAGTGAAATATAACTTGTAAAATTCAATGAAAAATCAAACAAATTTCACTTGTTGTGTGTTCGGTTGGACTCAATATACGTTTACACCTATGATATGGATAAATGTAATTAATTGAATATTAAAAATAATTATAACCAAGATTACAAAAATAAAATAAAATAGATGACTACTAAATCAGTGGAGAAATTATACACATGTATAAAAGAAAAAAAAATTATAATTATACTTAAATGCTAAACTAATTTCAGGGCGTTTGCAATTTCATTTAGAGTCAGCTATCTTAGAAATGACAACCAATAGCAGATGAGAACGTGGCGTTGATGGACACGTGGCACATTACTATTGGTTTTCTTTATAGCATTTTGTAGAATCGTTAAAATAATAAATATGTTTATCTATGATAAAGGTATTTATTGATTATTGAATATATTATTGATTGAAGGTATTGATGGATAGCCCTTTCACTATCTCTTGATTGATCCAATGAATTGAATATTCAATACTTGGCAGCAACTTATATGCATTACGTGTTTTCTCAGTGTATTGGTATCTTGATTTTATATAATACTTGTTTAAAAATATATAAATATTCGATATATATTATTTTATATAGTAGATTACGGTCAACTCCCTGTGATAATGTCAAATTACGAAAATCCCCTCGTGTTTGACACCACAAAAAATGAACGTGTGAGAGTTGAGAAGATTCAAGGCTGAGGGGTGATTGTAATTA